CTCCGGCAAAGCGGGGGCGGCCGCAGCGTGCCGGACCCCGCGTGGTCCCGGGGCAGCAGAGCCAGGGCTGACGCCGCGCAGAAGAGCCCGCGGCACGCACAGATTTTTAATTTTTCATTTCTTTTTTTTTTTCCTCTCGCTTTACACCCCACGCTTGAGCCCTCAGAGAAGCACTTTGGTAGCTGGCGAGCCTCGCACCAAGCCCTCCGCTCAGAAGCCGCTGCAGAGCCGGGAGGGTCCCGCCGGGCTGGCAGCCCTCTGAAGTCGGGGATGCTGGTATGCCACGGACCGGTCCCGGGGCATGGGAACCCAAAGCAGCGTCAGCTCCAGCAGGGCAGGAGGGAGGGGTTTGTCACCGGGGGCTTGGGCAAATCCCCATAATATCTGGCTGACAGCATCAGGAAGGAATGTTGGGCCATTGTTGTTTTTTTTTTTTAAGTAGCCCAGACAGACTTGAGAGAAAAACACCCCGGTGGCTCCTTAACCCCAGATGGTTCCACGAGCCAAGGAGGACACGCAAACTGTCAGGAATCTCCTGCTTAAAAGCATCTTCTTTAATGAGACTCGAATTTAACCTGAGTGCTGCTCAAAAGCCCCTTCTTCCAGCCAGCTGCAAATCACTGCCTGACACAACTAGAGCACACCCCCAGTAGGAGATTAAGCAGACCTTCTCCTCCTTTTGTTAAAAGCTAACGACTTTCCTCATCCAAGTAATTTTCCAAATAATGGGCCCCAGACCCTAGAGCACAGTAACCTTTATAAATCAGGACTGTCCCCAACCCAGCCACCAAGTGTTCACAAAAGGAGAGTCAAGCTCAGCCCAAGCTCCTGGGACGAGCTCATGCTCCTGCCCTGGGCACGGCTGCGATCCCCAGGACCCGGGGGGGCACCCCAGGGTGCTGGGTACAGGGTTAGGCGGCAGGAGCACACGGAGCTGCTGCTGCACTAAGCCTGATGCGCCCATGAGGACATCGTCCCTTCCTTCGCGCGGCTGGGGGGCTGTTCCAGCTCCGGCTCATGCCGCCCTGAAAATGGTTTTAAATAAATTACTGCGGAAATGCACAAGTCTCGAAAGAGCAGAGGAAAGGCGGATGATCTGTACAGCTGCAGAAGAGTCCTAGCTCGTGGATGCACAGGTTGTCTTCGGCTGGTTTGAACAGGAGAGAGCTCTTGCAAAAACAGTTTAAGTTTGAAAAAGTTCAGTTTGGAGCAGAAACCCCAAGAACAGAACTTTATTTCCGAGACATCTGGCCCCTCGGCCAGAGAACAAGTCCTACCCCTTCCCCATACCCTAAAGGAGCAACAGCAGAGCTCGAGGAAACCTGTAAGGAAGTCGTCAAACCCGGTGATGAGAACAAATCTGGAAGAGCAGGTAAAAGGTAGTGCCGTAAGCCGCGGCTCGAGAACATCGCGGCGGGTAAATTGCTTTTTAACAAGCAGACAAGTTCTATCAATAGCATCTACCGTATGTTTTTATAAAGTGCAGAAATATGTTTTTAAAAGGCCAGTAAATAAAGTTCCTATCGATTTGATCTCAAGTGTAATCTGTTTTTCTGTCTGCCACCAACAGCGGTAATAAAACCGAATCATGTAACACAGCGTTTCGGCTAATGCGACTATACATCACGGCAGGGGCTGCGCGCGCGCTGGCCATCCATCATTTTCTATTGGGATTGCTTAGCTGCAGAATTTATAACTTAGCTGCAGAATTTATAAACTTGCCCCAAATTGACGCAATGTCCAATTTTCTTTTCCAATTTATTTTTGGTCGAGCAAAGCAATATTGAGGCAGGACAAGGAGGGCACATTTCCCATCCATCCAGATGTTCTCCTTCCCCGCTCCTGCTTCTTCCTTGGCTTGGCAGCGGCTCCTCTGCCAAGGTTTTCCAGAGGATGCCAACAGATACTTTAATGGCTGTTTAGTGTTTGCTCCATAGTTTGCCTCGGTTGCACCAAAGAAGTCAAAGATGGGTCTTTTGGGAAGAAAAAGTGATGTTTGATAAAGCTGGCTGGAGGTTGCACTGCCCCAGTATCTAAACTGGGTACACACCAGTATACGTAAAACCCCTCCAAACACACGTAAGATGATGTATTAAATCCTCCAGGCCAAGCCTGTCAAAGCTCAGCGTTGCAAGATGCCACCCCATTTTAGGGTCCCTCACCCACAAACACGTTGACGTCGCCTTCACCAAGGAGCATCAAGGCTGCGGCGGAGACCTTCGGCACGGGCAGCGTGAAACGCGGCGTGTTACCCGTACCTGGAACAAGGATGGGAAAAGTCCCGTTCCCCCCTGGGAAAAGTGATAAATATTTCCAGAGATAAACACTCCGCATTTGGCTTTTTTGGTGGTTGTTTTTCTTGAAGAGACAAAGTGTTCCACAGAAAGCAGACACTTCCTACACAAGTTTTCATACTCAAACCCTGAGTTTTTCTGCCACTGATTTTGACGGAAAAAGCGTAGCCAGCCCCTTAGCCAGCCCATCTCTCACCACTCCATCCACGAGACCGCCCAGCCTTGGCAGGGCTGTAGCACCCCGCTGTGCTAAGCGTCATGTATAGATGGAGAGAACTTTAGCTAAGTGAGGTTTCCTATTCTCTTGGGAATAAAAAAAACCAAAAATATCAAGTTTCCTGACCTTAGAAATCCCATCATAAACCACAAAAAACTCCATCACCTGTGCACACCTCAGCCCCAGCACGGAATGAGGCAACTCTTGTTCCCACTCACTTGAGGGTGACTTTTTCTGGGGAAAAAAGATTATTCCAAAGCAATCTTGTTCCCACTCACTTGAGGGTGACTTTTTTTGGGGAAAAAAGATTATTCCAAAGCATCCTTACAGGTTCAGGAGTAAGAAAAAGATATATTCCGATAGAGAAAGCCTGAGGCAATTCAGAGCCAGTTCTCTGCAACCTATTTAAGGCCGTCCAGCCCCTCACCCACAGTTAGACGCCTAGTTTGCATGCCGCAGAGGCTGGAAGGCTCCTGGCTGAGGCCGGAGGAGAGAATAAATGCAAACCAAGGGAAGCTGCAGGGCCCGTGTCCTCAGATGCCGCCGCCGCCACGCAAGATGTGCCGAGTTGTCTCGGGAGGAAACGGTGCCAAATCCGGAGACGAGCCATCAGCCAGCCCCGATGCCAGCGGGAGCCCTCGGCAGCAGGTTCCCCCCGGGGCCTGCCCACCCCCCGTGCCGCAGCCAGCATCCCACCCCAAAATCAAGGCGGGCGAGCGACAGGCGCAGCCGGCTCCCGAGCCCAGCCGGGGCAGGTTCACTCACCTGCTCTTGAGTTCAGGCTCACGAAGGCAAAGCCGCAGCCCCCCAGCTCAGCCCGGCAAGGGGCTGGCTCCGCTCATCCCCCAAATCCTCCCCACAGCCGGCGGCATCCTTTACTGGACGGAGCGGCATCCACCTGCACCACCACAGCCAAGTCCCTTCGCTTCTTCCCGCCCCAGTTTGCTTTCCAGCACCAAAATAAGGGAGAAAAGTAACTGCCTGCATCCCTGGGAAACCGTGAACTGCTGGAAAGCAGCGCACGGGTGATGGGTGGTTGTGCATACAGCATCCTCTGCCAGGGAGGATTATTTTTTGGAAGAATCAGACATCTTTAAGGGAAAGTTATACTTCGAGCCATGTGATCAACAGCGGGAAGAGACTTTCCAGACAGAGATGAAGCAGCCAGAAAAACTGATTCTTAGCACTGCGAGGTAAAGCCAAGACACACG